GCTCGGCACCGGCCGCGACGCACGATCGCGTGGATTTTTCTTGGTTGCACACCCGGACGGCAGCAACGCAAGGCTTCGGCACGGCACCGCTCGTCTAGCTCCGTCACGTCTCGTCTCGACTCCCCGGTTCGCTCGACCCGTTGTTCGCCGGCCCAGTTTTTCCAGCCGCGATTCAAACGCGCCTTTCGAAATCGTGGCAGCCCCGCAAGTGTTACCGATCGCCGGATTACCGGGTCTGACGAAATCCCACCGTCCGACGGACCAGGTAAGCTGTCTCTAGAAGATCCCCGACGATAATCGTTACCGAGTGATCGCCGGCGAGAGCGCGCGATCGAACGAGCAGGAACGACGAGGACCGCCGCGGAGGATAATGGAAGAAGCTGCGAGCGTGAAAGGATCGACGCCACTTTGTTCTCGGTCGTTCGCGGTGACTCGTGGTCGGAGCTGAATTATTTCGATGTCCCGTTAGGCGTCAACGATCGACGGCTCGCCGCTCGTTGAATTCGCCGGGAGTCCTACCGGCGGTGGCGTCACGCCGGAAAACGGGAAAGTCGACGTTTTTTCGCGGTCGCGGGGGCGGCGACTCGCGAGACCGCAGACCGCCGCCGCGACGACCGGCGAATTTCTCTCCGCGGTGATTGCGTCCGCTCGCTCCCGAGCGTCTGTTTGCTCTCGACTGGTTTCGGCGCGTCGCCGAGGTAAATTTCGAACTTTGCCGCGCCGACCGTTCGACTTTGGCAGCGCGGACACGCGATTAGCCCCGGGGACACGCGTCTAGCCGGATCGGAGCGGCTCGCGACGTTTCCGCTTTTCGTTTCCCGCTAACGAGGACGAAGTTCGCGATCCAAAACGCAAACTGGAGGCGACGCGGCCGCTGACACCGTTTCGTCGGGGACTACCGGCTGACTTATTCGTTAGGTATTTTAGGTACGGTGCTCGGAGGAGCTGTTGCTACCCGACGCGTCGGGTGCACTGGTACTTGGAATGCACTTCGGGAATGAGAATAATTGCGGGACGTCTCCTTCGGTAATTAATGCAGCTTTGTCGCCGATGTGTCCTAGGTATCGCGTATCATGTTGCGTGTCGCGAATCGTTGCATGTTTTATGTGGAACCCTCGGTGATTTCTGTCGTGACGAGTAAGATTGTTATTGTCAGAGCCAGATGAATAGTCCGAAAGTACTTTGTACCATCCGAAAATAGATGTGTTATTGTCCGAGTACACGAATGCTTCAGTTCCTATCTTAGGTTGAACAGATAATAGTTTAACGATCAATAGTTCATCATTACCGGGTGTGTCTCTAGTATTACCGATTTCTGACCTCATCCGCTACTGAGTCTTAGTAGCTTTCCTAGTGTCCTGCAAAAACATCACTGGAACAGTCTCTGGAAAAATATCTATATCTCTCGAGGAGTGGCATTTTTAAAGCGATTCATTTTATTCGAACATACAATGAACAGGTCGTGCAGTATTAAAAACGTTTAAACGTTAAAGTTTCTTCGGAGACGGGTAGCCGAATAAGAGGACTAGGGCCCAGGGTTACTCCGATGCAGCCCTGCAAGGGCCCCGCGACGATAATAGCGGCGCACGCGGTCCCAAAGTGGCCGGGCACTCCTTTGTGTACACTCCGATACAATCGCGATTCCCTTGGACGTTCTGTTTCGACAGAATCGATTCAATTAACGGGACATAACGGACACGTTTCGACAGGCAGCGCGTTATCGGCCGACAAGCGGCGAGGTTTCGGCTGTTTTTCCCCGGCATTATTCGTCACGGGCGCATAATGACTGAGATAAACACTAAATGAGAAGGCGTGTCGCTCGATACTCGTGATCATCGGTGACTCGATCGAACAACGCTATTTTTATCATTCGCGCGGCCGGCGTCGCCTACGAGTGTTCAACACGTTCAGACACCTAACCATTGATCTAACCAGCTCCGGAGATTGCTGGGACATTGTACTGGCTCACGGCGATAATAATAATAAGATTCACACGTGTTAGGCACTCGCATTCTGCATCCTGCTCGTTTGTTCTCCCACACGCGCCGTGTTCCACATTAGACCTGCCAGATAGCGCGGAGTAACCCATTTTTGCAATGCAAATAGAGGCGATTGCAGCGAGCTCTACTCAATAATTTCAGTTCGGACACACTCGGAACATTTTAATGAACTAACACATTTCAAACCTTTAAAGTGTTCCGACACATTTCAGATAATACAATCGTCGGTTCTAATACAAGATTCTAGAGAATTACACGAGGCAACGTATAAATCAGTAATTCAAACACGATTAACACATTTTCTTGCCCCGGTGCGCAATCGGGTCAAAACAGAACCTTATTTGCCGACTCCACACGTCGCCGTCGAAAAAAAGCCGTCCGTCCCGTTACGAAAACAGAAAGGAGAAAATAAAAGAGTTTCTCGAAGTCGAGCCGGCTCTCCGAATGTCGCGGCCGCCTCGTGCATGCGAAAGCAAATTAGCAGTCACTTTCCTCGGGAGTTCATCGAGCCGGCCCGTTTTAGGCCGTTTCTTTATCAAACTGTGGGCAGGCTACGGTTTCACCGGGCGGGCGCGCAGCACGCGAGCGTCGCGTCGCGTCGCGCCGCGTCTCGTCGCGACTCGCGGGGAGAAGAAGGCTTGACACGTGAAAGTACGCTTGCGAAATCGAGGGGAGAGGACGACGTGTAATCTAATTCTAACGGTAACGAGGCACCGTTCCGTCTGCGCCCGGTGGCCGGCTGCCAAAACAAACCGAACGCGCGGCTAATTGTTTCTAATTATTCGACGGGTTCGTTAACGTCGATCCGGATGCCGATCCGGAGCGCCCTCCGTCCGCCGGCCGGTCCGTTTGAGTTCGGACGGCCAATATCGCGGTTACACTTGTCCGTTTTCACGCAACAGGATAACATCTGCCGGCCTCCTTCCATTTTCACCGCTTCCACGCGAACGGCGCGCGATCCTGCCCTCCCACCGACCGAATTGAATTACAGATTTCGCTCGAGCCTCTTTAATCTCACCGAGCGAGCTTTCTTACCGCGCCGCGGGATTTTTAATAATTCATCTCCGCCGTGGCGCTTCGTTTTGTAAATCAGCTGCGGAGGCGTGTAATAAAGGCAATTTCGGTACCTTCA